CCGCCGGCATTGCTTTCCGCTCTACTTTACCGCGCCGCGCACACGTGTGTGGCTTGTAGTAGTCGGGTCGTGCGTCGTGCACCGAACAACCAATTAATCAAATGAACTCCTAATTGTCCGTGGCGATCGTGTTTGGGACTTTTTATTTTTTTATATTTGTTCGGTCTCCCCGTGCGACGCCTCTTTTGCTGGGAACACGAAGTACGCCTCCAAAACCTCCCACGTTGAGCGCACACAAGAATCACCACGTGTTGACGTACACGTACAGCATGTCAAGCGGGAACGAGGTTCGGCCTGTTGAGCGGCACAGTCAAGGGAGGTTCGTAGGGGGGGGGGGACTCGAAACCGTTCCATTTGCGGTTTTTGCGGTGCCCCTGGCGGACGGGTGTTGATGGTTGTATTCCCCCGATCTTGTAGATGCCAGTCGGTCGCCCTTGGCCACGCTGCTACAAATACTGGTGTGATGTGCATGGTTCGACATTTTTTTTCCTTTCGCGTCGCAGTGTTCGTCTATTTATGGTTCTGAACATCGCCGCTCGTGGCCGCCTGCTGTATGCCGCACCATCGCCAGGAGCTTCGAGTTCCCCGGTAGTGCCGCACGAGGTGATAACGCCTCTTCCATTTTTGTTGGGTCGTACCCTGTTGGGGTTCAGCACCCTAGCGACACACGGCAGGCAGTTGAAGCCGTGCACCCACCATGCGACTGCTAGGAACACCGGCGCTTTTTTGGCAACACGCAAGGCAGACAAGAACACCACCTCATTACGTTGTTGTTGACGAAGTCTGTTCTAGCTCAACCATGCCCTGCAGACACTGAGCGAGAGCCGTCGCGATACCTCTTCTTGACCTGCTTCGTACATTGTTCCTCATGACGTGTTCCGCTCAAGAGTATACAGCACGGAGCCGTCCATGAAGACACCGGTCAGTCAGAGGAACCGTGTGATTGTCTCTAGTTGACCTACACGGGAGACTGAAGGTGACGTCAATCATCATCTCCAACCTTGCCTCCGCGTTATTTTCTCTTCTTGACCGACATTGGAGACACTAGTATTATCGCAGTGTGATGTTCACCATCACCTCATCGACCCTGCCTCCCGTGGAAGGCGACCGGGACGACGGCAACGCTCCTCATCCCCTGTTCTTGCCGATACCGCGAACAACGCCAGGCATCATCTCTCGGTCATGCAGCCGTGTTACCCGACCAGACACATCGTCAGGCATGTATGCTCCCATGACATCGCTACAGGCCACCTCGCCAGGCGCAATCACACTTTCATTTGGCGGCAGGGAAAAAGTCCCGCGAAAGCCGCTGCACGCCTTTCGAACCAGACAAGGCAAGAGAGAGAAAGCGAAGCGACTGGAAGATGGGAACAAGTCTAGATGGCGTCCATGCGCCCCCTCCCCCGCGTGAGCCCACGTGTCGAACGTGTTTGTTCTGGCAGGAGTCAAAACGAACGCTGCTCTGTCTCGAAAACAGGGATGGATCGGATGTAATAAGCTATTAGATCACAAAAGACAAGGAACACAGCACCGGGCGGGGGGCGTGGGGGGGGAGGGGGGGGGGGCGTCCACCGACCGCGTCCGCGTCCGTTTCCTCGGAGGCCTCGCTCTAGTTTAGTGGCATTTTCTTCGTCGTCACTGTGCACGAAAAACACAACTTCCTTCATGGAAGAAGCGGGCAAGTCTTAAACCGTACGCATCAAACCACACACACATTCTCAGAAGGCATCGGGCGGAAAGAGAGATGGGAGACCTGAACCCAGGACGGAAAGCGCTGACCTACATGTAGTCACAAATATTCACCATCCACGAAAGGTTCGCTCTATTGAATTCAAAAGGGGACAGGAACACAGCCAAGGCTCCTCGACGCAGCAGCACATCTACAGCAGTAGTTCGAGCCTCCTCGATCCCTCAGGGAATCACGTCAGATCTGGGAAGCACATCGAGTGGGGTCTCTCATCTACATAGCCCATCATTTCGTGACGAAACCAGTCGCTTCTGCGAAGGGGTTCAGATCAGCAAAATAGGCAGCTCCTCAGCTCGAAACCGGGAAAATTCTTCTCGTCCGACCAGAGCGCTCCTCCACGCAAGACGCTCTCGACCAATCAGAATCGCTGTCCTGATTCTTTTTTTCCAATCAGAAGGCGAAACTCGGCTTTCCGGAGTTGCTCCTCTTGACTTTCCTGTAAAGACGCGGACAAGAAGATTGCCAACCAAGACAGAAAGGAAGGCCGTTAATGATGCTGGCATTTACAACCGCACTTTTCGGCAACAACAGCATCATCACCACCGACAAAATAGCAAAATAGTAACCATGACAACGACAACAACGGCGAAGTGACAAATAACAGCAACAACAACAACGTCATCATCACCAACGACAACAGTAACCATTACAACGACAACAACAACAACAACAACAACAACAACAACAACATGAGCAATGAAAAACGACGACAACGACGACGGCGACGACAAAACGACAAACGACAAACGACAACCACACCAACACCAACAAACACCAACATCAACAACAACCAACAACAGCAACAACAACACGAGCAAAAATAAACAACGACGTCGACGGCAACGACGACAAAACAACAAAGGAGCGAAACGTTAAACACCGCGACACAGACCGGTGACGCTAAGGGTATCTTCTGCAGGATAGCTATCTCCGGGTATTCACTTTGTCGGCCTCCTCCCGCTTGTTCTTCCTGAGGAATTCCATTTGCTAGGACTACTACCGCACTATTGGCCGAGCTTGGGTTCTTAGTTCCTCTCGGGGGCCGAAAATGCCCGCTAAATTTATATAGATTTTTAGTGTAGGAATTGCCAATACATAGGTTTCAATGTAGCGATTCTTGACCGGGGTCACAAATGGTGAACAAGTTCTTATAGTTTTCAAGACTGCATCAATTTCTTAACTAACTGCTAACTTCTTTGAGCGCGGGCGGTATGTCCATGAGCATGGTTTCGGACGGATCGGTCTCCTTTTTCTTGCTACAGCTGTAGCGGCTCCGATACAAGAGGGTACACCTCATACGAGGGGGCTCCGATACAAGAGGGTACACCTCATACGAGGGGGCTTCGATACAAGAGGGTCCAAATCGGTTGTCACGGACTCGACTCGCTACAGTATAGTTGGGTACCCTCTTATTCCGGGACAAGAGGAGGCTCCGATATAAGAGGGTCGACGGCCTTTGTCACACCACCCTCATACATCGGAGCCACGATTGCTGTATGCAAATGAAGCAATGTAGATGCAACAGGAATGAGTTGGCATGCACCAGGGATTTTCTAAAATGACTGACATGAAGTTCATGAGCATCGTCCCGGACGGGTCGGTGGCCATGACGTGCAGCTCCTCCTGTGTGCTGGGGATCCTCTCCTTCCTCTTCCGCCTCGTCGACAGCCAGCCGTGCATCGCCTTCAGCTCTCGGTAAGCGGCGAGGGCCTTGTTTACGTCTTCCGTCGTCTGCAGCCGTGTGCACGGCACGGTGTTTTTTGTCCGGGGGGGGGGGGGGGGGGGGGCTGCCCCAACGGTTTGGGTGCCTTTTTCCGGTTAAACAATTGTCTCCCCCCCGATGGAAGGTAGAAAGGAAAAAATTCCCCCAGGAGCCCTCAACAAGGGGGAAACCAAATTTTTACCCAACCCCCAAGGGCCAACCCCCCTTCCCTTTTTTTCCCGGGGGGGGAGGAAACGGCCCCCAAAATTCCCCTTTGAAATTTTTTTGGGGGGAGGGGGGCCACCCCCCTTAAATCAAAAAAGGGCCAAGCCCCTTTCTTCCTTTTTAATTTGGGGAAAAAACCAGGGGGGTGTAAAAAAAGGGGGGGCCTTTCAAAAAAAACCCCAAAAGGGTGGGGCCCAACGGG